ATTTTCTGGGAAAAAAAAGATAAATCTGCCTATGACAGCTATGTAAACTTGGTTTAATTGCTAAACTACTACAATTTTGCCAATACAGTCACCTGTACCTAAATATGCATAATGCATCGATATGAAAAACATCAGAAACTCACTGAAATTCATTGTGTAGTTTGCAACACAAGCAGCAAAGAAAATGCTATTTTTGGTCAAAACTAGAAAAGCTGAGTTTATATTATGTGCCCTTTATAGGATTAGTATTTTCTACTGACACCAAAGTGGGGGTGGGGGTAGAGAGACTCCATTTCAGGGAGAAAACAGCTACCATTTTCATAAAGTAGCCATGTTTTTCAATTTGAGACTGAGAATGGTCTCATGAAGGTTAACATATGACAGCTGAAGGTGCTTATTGGAAGGAAGTAGATGAAAGAGTAATTTGAAAAAAATAGCATGAGATTTTTGGACAGGTTTTATATCGTAAAAAAATGATGACAAAATACAGTGGATCCCTGATAACCCATCTCAGTGTCTGAGGCCCTCAGTGAACAGAATATAATTTATCACATCTACCCCAAACCACTCTTGCTTTAGAATAACCCATTTCTTCTTACTAAGTTTCTAAAGAAATGGGAATGAAGCATGTATCTCATTTTAATGGCCATATATAATGAGCCGCCCCTGCAATCTTGCTTCAGTGACCCACAATGCTTTGTCTTCCTGTGGATTATCCAGAGTGTGCCAAATTAACAGGTAAATCTGCTAGTGCAAAGAGCAACACAAAAAAGCTGCATCTTCCTTGCATATTTTAAAACGGACAAAAAACCGTTTCATCATTAAGTCTAAATAGTTGCCTATATAATAATGGCATGGTGTATGATTTAGCATTTTTTTAAAGATTTATTTATGTGTGTGTGTGAAAGAGAGAGAGAGGTAAAGGGAGAGAGAATCCACAAGCAGACTCCCCGCTAAGCAAAGAGCCCCATGTGGGGCTCGATTCCAGGTCCCTGAGATCATGACCTGAGCTGAAACCAAGAGTCAGCCGCTCAATTGACTGAGCCACCCAAGCACCCCTGAGTTAGCATTTTTTATTAAGGTTTTATTTATTTGTCAGAGAGAGAGAGAACAGAGGCAGGGGGAGTGAGGGAGAAGCAGGCTCCCTGCTGAGGAAGGAGCCAGATGAGGGGCTTGATCCTAGGACCCTGGGATCATGACCTGAGCCAAGGGCAGAAGCTTAACCGACTGAGCCACCCAGGCGTCCTTGATTTAGCATTTTAAAACAAAACTGTTACACTGCTGTTTTACATGTGTCCAATGGAATCTAAAGATTTTGAAATCCACATTATCCATTTTTATTAATGAACTCTTTAATGGATACAACCTTCATACTGTTCCTTTTTACTCTTTGAACTTGAGTTGTAAATCTATTTATCTCCATAGAATTTTATTCTAATGTAACATATTTTTATGCCTGAAAGATACTTATTGATTATCCAACATACTTATCTGAAATAAAAATACACATATAAATGGCAACTTAAAATGATATCCTTTGATCAAAAGATTCTAAGTGCTTATAAAAATTATTCTGTATTACATGTTCATTGGAATTATTACAGTTAATCAAAACAACATATATATGTTAATGCTGAAATATAATTATTAAGCCTTTAAAATTTAAAAAGAAAATGTCTCTTAATGACAGGAAAGTGGCTTTTTTTTCAATTACATTTCATTGAATGGGAATTTACTTACCACTAGAATAAACAGAATTGGATAGAAATTAACAACAAAGAGAAGGTATTGACAACATATTTGCGGCCATTTGTATTCATTTAAATCCAATGAGTACATGGAACAAGAAAATAAACGAGTAGAGAAGAGGTTGAAGCACAGCAGCAAGCAAAACACAGGAAAGTAATACAAAATGGATATGGATTTAGAATATCGAATAATCTTTTTTGCAAAAATTAATCAAAGTGTCTTCTGAGTAAATGTTTGAGAAAAATACAAAGCCCTAACTTTCCTCTTGTGCATGTTCCTTCTATATCAAGATAGAACACGGATCCGATCGAAGTAAACAACACTTTCTACCTCCTCCTCCCTGAGATTTCCAACTGACGCCTCACCACACTCTTCTCTCAAAGGAGGGTAAAATGCAGACAGAACATGCTTCATAAAATACTTCTCGACTTCATTCTTCTTTCTAACAAATCCTGAATACTCTACTCCTACTCTGTATAAGTGGACAAGCCCCAGGGTGCAGCTGTGGGTTTACCACCTAGATAAAACAAGATGCCCTTGTCTGCCATGGATCTATCTTGCACACTCTTTGCTTTGCTCTCATTACACGTTCCTTGAGGCACAATATATTCTTTGATAACAGCCAGAGAATGGAAAAGGTGGGGGTGTTAAAACTGGTATAGCTCTTGCTGCCTAACTATACAACGTATCCAAATTTTTAAAAACCCAAAATTGATCAAAATATCCTGTTTCTAGTGTCCTATTTTCCCCTAAAGGGAATATGTGAAAGGCAAGAAGTTCTTCTGGGGTTGTTTAAAAGAGCCCCACATTTTGTTCAAGCCGAATATTCTGAACTATGCACTTGTCTTGCATCCTTGAGAAGCAGTTCCATAGGAGGACTCAGGGAGAGTGAGCCTTCCTTCTGTGAACTGGGAGAAAGAGCACAAAGGGGGCAGGGGAAGAGAACCACAGGTGCCTACACAGAGGCATGTTATCAGTCAGCTCAACCTCAGAAAACACACATATGGAAACTGAACATCTAAAAAGAAATTCCTTTGCCACTATCCATGGCCATGTTCCCCAATTTGAAGACCATCATTATAGATCATCCACATTACTACTTTTTGTAGGGAAGAATAATCTGGAGTCTTCTGAAATTTCATTCCTTTCTTCTTGGGGCATACAAAACATTATGTCACTTCATTTTTATGAGAAATCTCTGAGGTGGGTTATATTACACCCATTTTACAGATGAGAAAATCAAAATCAAACTGGTTAGGTCACTTGTCCAAAGTCACACACAGAAATTGAATAGAAATATCTGGATTCAAGGTACCGGCTGTTAAAGCCCATTACTCACATGTGGTTCTCATTTCTAAGCTTTCTTGTCTTTTCCTTTCTTATGCCCCTCCTACAAAACCAAGTCCCCTAACACCTCATTATAATAATATAGAATGTCAACTACGATTTATTAGCAGATTGCTTGTGGGCCAGAAAATACACCATTTTACCTACATTAGAGCCTTTTAATGCTCACAACACCACAAATGAGGTATGATCATCCCCATTTTGCACGTATTGGTAGCTTGCCTGAAGTTACATTGCTGATGCTAATTGGGAGTGAGCTGGGATTCAGACCTGGGTCTGGTGAAGTCAACATGATCTTAACTATTATGATAAATTGCTCCTACAACAGCAGATATTCTGACAGTATAGGCCTAATAATGAAAGAGGTGGTCACAAATTTCTATGTCTACAAAGAGCAGATGGATAAGGTAACTGAGCAAAACACGCTTCTTCTGTGTGGGGCAGCAGAGCCAGGTGGCTAGGCCTTCTGACTGGTCAAGAGGGACCAAAAAGTGCATTTTAATATGAAATCTTACAATTGTTAAATGCTGGCAAGCAATTAAGAAATATATTCTGTGTGTATATCCATATATATTTTCAACTGATTTTTTAAATACATACACACATACCACATTCTGGGTGGGCTGGATGTGGTTCATGGACCATCATATTATAACCTCTGACTATTTTTAAAAATTTTTTAAGATTTGGGGCGCCTGGGTGGCTCAGTCGTTAAGCATCTGCCTTCGGCTCGGGTCATGATCTCAGGGTTCTGGGATCGAGCCCCGCATCAGGCTCCTTGCTCGGCGGGAAGCCTACTTCTCCCTCTCCCACTCCCCCTGCTTGTGTTCCCTCTCTCACTGTGTCTCTCTCTATCAAATAAGTAATATCTTTGAAAAAATTTTTTTTAAAGATTTATTTGCATAATCTCTACATCCAACATGGGGCTCAAACTCACCACCCTGAGATCAAGAGTTGTGTGCTCTTCTGACTGGGCCAGCCAGACAGATGCCCCTAACTTCTGACTTCCAAAGTGAGTGAGTGATGGCTATGCCCCATGTTCAGAAGCCCATTACTCTATTTAAAATACCTCTGGACAACCAATTCTCTAATTTCCATTAAATAAGAGCATGACACTGCTGATTTGGGGACCTCTTGGACTTTTTAGGCAGTCACTAATTCTCTGTCCTACTCAGAACTACAGCATCTGTTATAATAACCCTCACATAGAAACAGAAGCTAAATAGATTTAAACCTGAAAAGACCTGAGTACTGCAGGGAGACCAGGAGGTTTACAAGTGGGTACCACTGGTCCTGGGAGAAGCCACAGCTCAGGTGTGACCTCATCTCAGCCTCCCCTCCACCTCAGAGCATCATGCTCACTCCTGCACCCTACACCTAGCACATGCAGGAGTTCAGTAAACATCCTTTTTTGCTGCTGGAACAAGAGACTTTGCTCATGTCCCTCCCCCAAAGCTTCATCTTCTCCCATCCTGACTGTAAAAGTTAGCCAGGTAAATTTTCTGTGGAGTGCTCAGAGCTCCAGAAGCTACTGATTTAAAGAGCTCTGTTTAAACATTCATGCTTGTTAAATACGAACAATACTGGTGGGTGGGGCTGTTGCCACAAGACAGCAAATTTATCGTGCTAAAGCTGTTACTTGCATTCCTCCATAACTATAGCTTTTTTTAGTCTGGTAATTTCACTAACAGGCTTCCTTTTACAAATATAATGATAGACTTCCTAGGTGTAAATACAATGTAGATCAGAATATTAAATCACATTCTAATTAACTCTATTCCTTTAATCCTAATGCATTAGAAATTCAATCAAATATTTTCACCCTTTGTGCTATTATGGTCAATAGGCAAATATTCTAAACACATCAACTTGAAATAGAATCTTATTTTCAAGCAATTAATTACTTATATTCGCTGGTGTAGGTGGTGAGCTCACGGTCATTGTGCATCCACTTGAACTCCAAAGGCCAGCTGCCTTCAGCAAGGCAAGTGAGAACAAGGCGGTTGCCTTCCAGGTGAATCTGCGGTAGGCCTGGCTCCGTTTTAAAATATGGCACAACATCATCTGAAATATTTAAAAAAAAAAAAAGCAAGAGAGAAAGAAAAAAAAGTGAATGAAGTACACATGAAAATGGCATTCATCCAATTAATCAATCACTTACTTAAACAGACCTAATTTTAAAAAAGCATAAATGATGGCTATTTGGCCCAATTAAGTAGCCAATAATCCTTGACCCCTTAGAAACATGTAATACCCTAGATGATATTTCAGAAGGCAGAAAGCTCAATGATCAGCACCGTTTAAAAACATCTGACAAGTTCATCAAAGTTATTTCCATTTATGATTAATACCTGTTAAAACAAAGAGGCGTACCACGCAAGCCATGGTTTTAACTAGGCATTATATTTTCACAGTAACAACCAATGGTCTACACAGAGGCTCTAAAAGAAATTTCTTCATGTACCTTCAGTTGGTTAAAAAAAAAAAAAAAAGTAACTAGGATATAAGCAAGAGTAACATGCATACATAAATGACAGGACTCACCATCCAGCTTCCACCTCTCTCTCTCTCTCTCTCTCTCTCTCTCACACACACACACGGGGCTATAAAACTGGAAATCTGTGTGTATTTATACAACAAAATCCTACACCGCAATGGGAATGCAACAACTCTTGGCGCATCCTATGATCTCTCACAGACACATGTGGAATGAAAGAAGCCGGACAGAAAGAAGTTCACAGCATATGCTTCTATCCACAAGTTCATGAAAATTCAAAACCAGGTAAAGCTAATCTGTACTCTTAGAGGTCAGGACAGATGTTACCCCAGGGGGATAGGGACGGTGGAGGGGTGTAACAGGGCAGCTTATGGCGAGCAGACCAGGACCTATTTCCCAATGTGATTACACAGGGGCACTTAATTTTGTGAAAATTCATGGAAAATTATTCTATGTAATATTTGTGCAATTTCTGTATGTACACTTCAATAGTTAAAAATACATAAATATCAACACAGGACACTTAGCTTCTAGTTCTGGCCCCATCACTAATTTTCTACATGACCCTGATTAGGGCATGTGGGTTTTTGTTTCTTCATCACTAAAATAAACAGAATTCTAGCTCCTCACTTTCGAACACAATCCCCCTGGCACACCTGCCTCTCTTGGGCCCCCGACGCTCTCTACTCACACATGAACATTCTAACTCTGAACCAGGCTGAGCCCTTTCGGGCCTTCCCAGGTGCTCCATCCCACCCCCCCACGCGCCCCCAGTTCTGGGTGAGCAGACTCGCTCTCCTCCTTCCAGCTGACAAAACCTCTCCCTACCAACACGCCCCAACAAACCATGACATTTGTTCCAGTCATGGCACCTACAAGATCTCAAAATGAGAGTACTTATGGATTATACCAACATACTCTATGCCCTCTCAGTGACTACTTCTGAATCCCAGAACCTAGAATGCCAGCGGCAAAGTAGATACTGAATAAAATATTTGCTGAACAAATAGAGTAACAACAACACAGATAACAGCAATAGCTGGTATTGAGTATTTATTATGTGCTGGAAACTGTGCTAAGTACTTTGTACGTACTACCTCATTTAATTTTCACAAAAGCCCTATGAGACAGATGTCATTATTATATTCCTTATTATATTCCTTCCTTATTATATTCCAGATGGGTAAAGGGAGACCCAAGGAAACTAAGTAACTTGCTCAAGGCCACCCAGTGAGTGGTGAAATCACCATTTAAAACTCAGATAATCTGTTACAGAATCCCTGAATTCTACATATTATGACTCTAAATGCCATGGGTTTCTCCTTAAGGAAATCTTCTCAAGAACCCATATCTTAACTTCACATTTTGGATAAATTTGTGGAATTACTAAGCTGGGCTTTTAAATTACTATATTTTTAACAAATTAAGCATCAAATAGCATATTAACAGTATGCTGTTAATAGCATATTAACTGTATTTTTACATTAAGTTGGAGTACATATAGCTAGGTTTTTTTGTACTTAATATATACAATTTAATTTTTTAAGATTATTTGAGAGAGAGAAAGAGAGAATGCATGTGCACATGCTAGCAGGGAAGGGGCAGAGTAAGAGAAACTCAAGCAGACTCCATGCTGAATGTGGAGCCCAATGCAGAGCTCGATCATATGACCTTGAGATCATGACCCAAGCCTAAATCTAGAGGTGGATGCTTAACCAGCTAAGCAACCCAGGCGCCCCAATATATGGAACTTAAATATACAGCTAACCCTTGAACAACACAGGGGTTAGGGGCACCAACCCTCCACACAGTCAAAAATCCACATACAACTTTTGACTCCCCAAAAACTTAACTACTAATAGCGTACTGTTGACCAGAAGCCTTACCAATAATATAAACAGTTGGTTAACACATATTTTGTATATTATATGTATTATATACTGTATTCTTACAATATAGTAAGCTAGAGAAAAGAGATGTTAAGAAAATCATATGGAAGAGAAAATATATTTATAGTACTGTACTACAAAAAACCCATGTATAAGTGGGTCTACACAGTTCAAACCCATGTTGTTCAAGGGCCAACTGTATAGAGTTTATTTTGCCATTGTGTTGACCACTGCATTCTACTACTGGTATATTGATAATAGAATATTGCCAATCTCTTACTAGTATTCATTCAAATAATTAAATGTTCAATTGCATTTGTGAATGTGGTAAGAGCCTATTAAAAAAAAAAAAGGCTTAGCCTAGTCAATGAGATGCCATGCAGAAGCTAAAAGATCAGTAGGATTCAAAAACTCAAGTAGTATCATCTGCAAAGGCCCTGTGGTGGTAGCAAACATGGTGAGTAACCCTGGGAAGTACAAAAGACTGAAAAACAAGCAGATCTATGGGCACAGAGAAGACAGAGTGAATGGAAGCAGGGTGAACAAGGTCTAGGCCTTACAGGGTGTTGCAGGCAAGGCAGGCGAACATCCTTGTTTCCATGTCATAACTGTGTGATTTTCAATGGTGCCACTTCACATTCAGAAGTGTCCTTGTGTGAATGATGAATTATATGACCACCCTATTCATCGGCCTTGGTCAAAGTACTGCCAGTGTTATGATGATGATGATGATTAGCCATTATTATGGAAGGACAGCAGACAGCCTTTGAAGAGGCTATGCTGTTAAAAGCTCATCTGGCCACACCATGGGGAAGGAATTAAGAGGGGCTGGAGCAGTGGGATTAAACCAGTTAGGGCCACTGTGGTGATCCAGGCAAATGTTCTCAAAGGTGGCAGTGGTTTGGGCCAAGGTAACAGCAGTGGTTGTAGTGGTGGAGATGGAGAGAAATGGGTTGCTTTAAAACAATATTTAGGGGCGCCTGGGTGGCTCAGTTGGTTAAGCGACTGCCTTCGGCTCAGGTCATGATCCTGGAGCCCCGAGATCGAGTCCCACATCGGGCTCCCTGCTTGGCAGGGAGTCTGCTTCTCCCTCTGACCCTCTTCCCTCTCGTGCTCTCTCTCTCTCATTCTCTCTCTCTCAAATAAATAAAATCTTAAAAAAAAAACAATATTTAGGTAGCAAAAAAGAAAATTATTGATGGACTGAATATGGGACCGAGGGAGAGACAGGTGTCAAGAAGGATTCTTAGTTCTCTGACTTGCACGACTTTCTGTTCAACACACACACACACACACACACAGTGATTTAGTTATTAGTGCTAGGAATGCAACGGGAATAAGTAACAGCTGCTGTCCCATAAGAGGCTACGGCTACATCTGATGCAGGAATAGAGATGGCAAAGTATCAGGCACTGTGACCGAAATTTGTGACTGAAAGACAGGAAGGCAGTCAATCCTCGTCCCATCCCAAGGTGCTACTGCACACCACCCACTCTGAGCCAGCTACAAGGGCATCCTCAGGCCGACTGCCAGCAGTGACAGCGTGTCCAATGTCCCTCTTTGCTACACACTTCATCTAAAACTGTCCACTCTCATGGCCTCGTAACGCTGAAGTGTGATGAGTATAGCTTTGACACCTTGGGGTTGACTGAGCTCCAGGCTGTATTAGTGCCCTGCCACTTGAACCATATTTAACGATGGAGAAAGAAATGCCACTTCATATCACTCCAAAGTCCTACAAAAATGAGTCATAAAAAATATATCTTTTAAAAGAAAAAAGCTTCAAAATAGACACTCAAGGATGTGAATTTGGTTTTACAACTGACAGAACATCATCAATTTATTATATGACTGTTTTAAATATAAATGATTCCATAATTCAATTTTTCCTAGAATTCATAGTTTACTAAACATGCTTATACTCTGTACAAATTATGCTGCATACTCTGAACTAGCAGGAAAAGAAATTTTCATAAAGAGTAGTTTCATATAGCCGGCAAGCAAATATCTTGTGATCCAAATGATCACAGAAGTGTGGTTAGTGCAGATACTAACATTTATGATAGGAGGAAGGGAGGCAAATGTGTCCGTGCTCTGGGATCTTATGTGTGTAAGTGACAATCATTATACAAATATTGTAACACAGATTAGCCAGTGTGCAGAATAACAGCGTTATTGCTCTGAACCTGGCACTATTTACCACTGAAATACATGCAGATCATGAAATTCAGAGGGCATAAAAGCAACAGAGCACAAAGGCTTTGGTGACAAAAAAAAGAGACAGAAGCGTTGGTGTTCAGGTCCACACAGACCCTGACAAAAGCATGTGATCCTTATATACCTTAAATGGAACAGAGGAAAGTTTGAAAAGATCCATAAAGACAAAAATGATTGAGTTACCTCTGAAATAAGATCATCAAACTCTGACCTAGGGAAAAGTCAATGGTCTACCTGGTGCTCAATGAGGGGTGTGTGTGTGCGTGTGTGTTTGTGAGTGCGCACTCATGCACGTGCACATGTGTTTTTTCCCAAATAATGAATAGCAGTTCTCCCTCTCCTTGGGAAGAATAAGTACACATTAAGTCACAGCTTCTATGTTCTTAACAATGAACACTGTAAGACCCTGGAATGAATTACTATGAAAAACTCTGAAATTTCCATTTTCACATACTTT